ATCATGTGATATCCTCTAGAGAGTGGTTTTGAAAGATGCATTTAAAGAAGAATGTTCAAAGAGCCCTGGAGGTATGGTAATATGTGTCAGGAACACTATAAATCCCATAATCTTCCTCAGTTTGTAAATCTGGTAATAATTGTCAGCTCCTGTGACATGCGGAATTAAATTTTAGTCATTGTAAGATTTTGACATATGAAGGGATGTCCTGTTTTACTTGATCTTCCTTTATGCCATGTTTTTCATCTACTTACTTATTAATGGCCTTAGAAGAGCTAACATTTAATAAGCATTTGCTATTTGCCGTGCATGATACTAGTCTCTCTTATATTATCTCTAGTCCTCACCACAATTTTGCAAACCCAATTTACAGCTGAAGAAACTAAGGCTCAAAAAGTTGTTTCTTGCCTAAAGTCACAGAACTTAGTAAGTGGTGATTTGAACTCAAATTTGTGTGATCCCTAACCTGCAGTTTTTCTACTACTGTACCAGTGTTTCTCACCCTTGTTCAATTAAATAGGATTTTGGACGATAGACTTTGATGTTTGAGCACCTTCTCAGGACAGTAATGTGCATCTAGAGTTAGAAACTACTGGATAAACACCCCGTGCTTACTATTATGAGATCATACTTCAGTTGAAGGGAAAGTATAGTAAAAAAGCACATTTTCCCTTAAACGTTATGTGCAATATTGTCCATTTATCTCTGCCAAAACATATATATTTGAAACTTCAGTACAAGATGGTACATTGAGAACATGCTGCAGCCTCCCTTTGCTACTACACATTCCTAAAAATAATCCTCCTCTCTTCCTCTAAAGAATATATTGTACCAATTAAATACAACTGTGATAGGAAACAGAGAAACATGCCAAAACCATGGAGAGCCCTTGATCAATGGCATCGGAATGCAGATAAGAAGTATAATCTAAAATATGTGTAGGATTGGAATATTGCAAAAGGTATGAATGATATTTTAGGGATGCTTTATGTGTAACCTTCTGGACAAGCACACATGTAAAACTACTTCTCCCTACCTTTACAGTTTTTTTTTTTTTTGGTGTCTGACATGCAAAAACAGGCAATATGGGTGCTTTAAAAGCCAAGGGAGTACTCCCAGTGTTGTCAATATCCAAAAAGGATAGGAAACCCCCAGAACACTAACGATACATATTAACTACCCAGGTGGCACATCTTTCACCTCCGCACTCCATGCTGCTGTAATCACATAAATCAGTCACAGACTAATAGGATATCTCTAAAGTCCAAATAAAGATAGGGCCACAACCAAGAATTACAAAATATTTTAAGAAAACTCATATCATGAAGGAGAGTACCAAACATAAATGGACGAACTAACACCCAAGGGATCAGAGTTAATAAAGAAAGCAAAACAAGACTTCAGAATAAATATAATTACTATCCTCAGACACATGCAGATGGCACTGCATTCATCAAAAAAGAAAACTTTAGAGCTTTTTGAAGTTAACAATTCAAAAGAAAGGACAAAGAATTAGGAAGCAATAAAGGTAAGTTGAGAAACACTGAGGATAGATAGAAAGAGTAGTAACTAAAAATAATCCTATAATTACCAATGCTGGATGCAAAACATAGTGGGATAGTATCTTTCAAAATACTTTTCAAAAATAAATTTGTGCTTGAGTTCAATACCTGCCTAAATTATAAAACTGATATTTTTTAGACATGCAATACTCATGATAAGCATAATTACTATAAGAAAAGAAACAATATTTTAGTTTAAAACCATTAAGAAGAAAGAAAAATAGAACATAGAAAACTCAGTAAAGGTAACATATAGCAGGAAAAGAAAATATAGAAGCTATAAAAAAGCATGAGAAATAGAAATGCCATGTAGAATGGTTGCATTCACTTATTTAAAGGTAGCCTCTCAAATCAGTTTGAAAAAAATTGTTTACTGTTTACAAGAAGCACCTAAAACATAGACTAGAAGGTTGAGAAAAAGATCAATCAGGCAAATAAAAAATAGAAGGCATAGCAATAGAATTAAAAGCAAAAAAATCGTTTAATTAAAAGAAAGTTATTTCATTATCATCTTGGTAAATTGATTAATAGATATGAATTCATTTAGCAATATAGCTTTGACATAAAGGGAAGAATCTAGCTAATACTATTTTTTTTAAAAAGTGATGTTAACCAAGATCATAGTGGGAGATTTTAGCATACATCTTTCAGAAGTTAACAGAACAAAGCAGAAAAAAATAAATACATATAGAAGTTTGAATAGAGCAGTTAACAGGCTTAATGTAATAGATATGTAGAGATAAGCATTCATTTCAGATATACAGGAAACATTCACAAAAATGGATCAAATATTAAAACACAAGAAAATGTAAACAAATGTTAAACAAAATTATGCAAGCCATGCTCACATACCATAGAAGGTAAAACTGGAGATTTAAAAAACAAAACAAAAAATTCTAGAAATAAAATAAAGTAAAAATGGGAAATAGCCAACATTTTAGAAACGTATGATGCCAGGAGCCCACATATGAAAACCTGTGGGTGCTGTCAAAATTTACTCAGAGGAAATTTATAGTTTTTAATGCATTTCTTAGAATATTAGAGAAATTTAAATTTTTAATCATTTTTATAGCTTTTTGTACTTTATCTTGTGGAAATATTTTAGGATTTACAATCTTTTTTAGTGGAACATTTATCCAAAAGTAATTAATATTGTCAGTGTTACTTATTTGTTTCTTCTGTTTAATTCATGTAAAATTAAATCTCCTTACTAAAAAGCTTCATTTGTAGTATAAGACCACTTTAAAAATATATATATTTTCTAGCCAGGTGCAGAGGCTCACACCTGAGTAATTCATAAAGGAAAGAAATTTAATTGACTCACCATTCTGCATGGCTGGAAAGGCCTCAAGAAACTTACAATTATGGCAGAAGACGAAGGGGAAGCAAAGCACCTTCTTCATAAGGCAGCAGGTAGCAGAAGTGCAAAGTGAAGGGAGAAGACCCCCTTATAAAACCATCAGATTTCATGAGAACTCACTGACTATCATGAGAACAGCATGGGGGAAACTGCCCCCATGATCCCATCACTTCCCACCAGGACCCTCCTGTTATACGTGGGGATTATGGGAACTACAATTTAAGATAAGATTTGGGTGATGACACAGCCAAACCATATCATTTCATCCCTGGGCCCTCCCAAATCTCATGTCCTCACATTTCAAAAGACAGTCATGCCCTTCCGACAGTCACCCAGTCTTAACTCATTCCAGCATTAACTCAAAAGCCCAAGGGAGTCTCATCTGAGACAAGGCAAATTCCTTCCGTCTATGTGCCTGTAAAATCAAAAACAAGTTAGTTCCTTCCAAGGTACAATGGAGGGAACAGGCATTGGGCAAATGCACCCATTCCAAGTGGGAGAAATTGGCCAAAACAAAGGGGCTATAGGCCTCATACAAGTCTGAATCTTTAGGGTAGCTATTAAACCTTAATGTTCCAAAATGATCTCCTTGGACTCCATGTCTCACATCCAGGTTATGCTAATGCAAGAGGTGGACTCCAGTGGCCCTGAGTAGCTCCATCCCTATGGCTTTGCAGGGTACAGCCTCTCTCCTGGCTGCTCGCACAGGCTGGCATTGACTGTCCACAACTTTTCCAGGGACACAATGCAAGCTGTCAGTGTATCTACCATTCTGGGGTCTGGAGAATGGTGGCCCTCTTCTCACAGCTCTGCTAGGTAGTGCCCCAATGGGGACTTTGTGGGGGACTCAAACCCTACATTTCCTTTCCATAGCCCTACCAGAGGTTCTCTATGAGGGCTCTGCCCCTGCAGCAAACTTCTGCCTGGACATCAGGTGTTTCTGTACATCCTCTGAAATCTAGGCAGAGGTTTCCAAACCTCAGTTATTGACTTTGGTGCACCTACATGCTCAACACCATTTGGAAGCCACCAAAGCTTGGGGCTTGCACACTCTGAAGCAATGACTCAAGCTGTATCTTGGCCCCTTTTAGCCACAGCTGGAGCTGAAGTGGAGGTTGGGGTGGGGGGGGTCTCAGGCCCCACCCACAAAACCACTTTTCCCTTCTAGGCCTCCAGGCCTGTGATGAGAGGGGCTGCCATGAAGTTCTCTGACATACCCTGGAGACATTTTACCCATTGTCTTGGTGATTAGCATTCAGCTGCCCATTACTTATTCAGGTTTCTGCAGCTGGCTTGACTTTCTCCCCAGAAAATGGGTTTGTCTTTCCTATTACATCTCAAGCTGCAAATTTTTATGCTCTGCTTCTTCTTGGACACTTCGCTCTTTAGAAATTTCTTCTGCCAGATACCCAAATCATCTCTCTCAAGTTCAGAGTTCCACAGACCTCTAGGATGGGCAAAATGCACAAAAGTCATCTTTGCGCCAGTTCCCAAGCCTCATCTCTATCTGAGACCGCCTCAGCCTGGACTTACCGTCCATATCACTGTCAGCATTTTGGTAAAAACTATTTAACAAGTCTCTAGGAAGTTCGAAACTTTCCCGTATCTTTCTGTCTTATTCTGAGCCTTCCAAACTGTTCCAACATCTGCTTGTTAGCCAGTTCGAAAGTCACTTCCACATTTTCAGGTATCTTTACAGCAGTCCCCCATGACCTTGATACCAATTTATCGTATCAATCAGTTCTCATGTTGCTATAAGGAAATACCTGAGACTGGGTAATATATAAAGGAAAGAGGCTTAATTCACTCACAGTTCTGTAGGGCTGGGAAGGCTGCAGGAAACTTAAAATCATGGTGGAAGGTAAATGAGAAGCAAGGCATCTTCTTCACAGGTGACAGGAGAGAGAAGTGCAAGCATGGTAAATGCCGGATGCTTAAAAAACCATCACATCTCATGAGAACTCATTCACTATCATGAGAGCAGCATGGGGGAACCCAGCCCCTTGTAGATATTCAAGACCAGCCTGGGCAACAGAGCAAGACCCTGTCTCAAAAAAAAATTTTTTTTTTTTAATTAGCTGGACATGGTGGTCCATACGTGTAGTCCTAACTACTCAGAAGGATGAAGCAGAAGGATTGCTGGAGCCCAGGAATTCAAGGTTTCAGTGAGCTATGATCTTGCACAAATTTTTCTAAATTAAAAAGAAATTGTCTGTTATCTCATTATCTCTTCAATTCTGTGTATTCACTCATTTCTATATATACTTAGAGAGATGTGTGGAATGGTACTCTACTAATAATAACACCTTTTCTTTCTGGGTAATGGGACATTGGTTGGTTTATTGCTTTTACTATTTTGTACTTTTATGTGTTTCTTAGATTTTTTATGGAAGCATACTTTATTTTATAAAAATTATTTGCTTAACTAAACAAATGTATTAAAGATTTTTAAAAAAGAATGATAAAATAGTTCAAAGAAAATAAAGTGCCAAATTAATAAGGTTGAATACAGAAATCCAATAGCAATGTTGATTAAAAGGTAAATAAAATGGATAAATCTTGGCAATTCTGAAAAGGAAAAAAATATACTAATCGATATTATAATTAAAAAGTAAGCATAGCTAAAAATACAGAGATTTGTAAACTTAGAACTTTCATGTATACATTTATTCTAATAAGTGTAAATGCTGTCCTGGACAGCACTTTGAGGGGCCTGAGGTGGGAGAATCACTCAAGCTTAAGAGTTCAAGACCAGCCAGGGTAAGATGGCAGGACATCATTTCTATGAAAAATTTAAAAATTAGTCAGGTGCAGCAACACACATCTGTAGATACAGCTGCTTGAGAGACTGAGGTGGGAGGATCGCTCGAGCACAGGAATTTGAAGCAGCAGGGAGCTGTGATCATGCCACTGCATTCCAGCCTGGGCAACAAAGTGAGACCTTATGTTTTAAAAATAATAATAATAAAAGTTTTAATAAATGTGAATGCCTAGGCATAATGGGTAATTTTCAGAAAAATATGTTTTATTCAGATTGTAATAAGGAATGGTAAAAACTCTGAATTAACTAATAATTATAAGAAGGAACTGTTGGTAAGTATGATATCCAAGTGGAGATGTCAAGAAGATGGTTATATAAAAAATACTAGAGTTCAAAAGAGAGAAACAAACTAAAAATAAAATTTGGGAGTAATAAGAAAATAAGTTAGATGATATACAGTGACACAGTGTTAGATAAAAATCCTTAGGGCAAGAGAATAGATAAACAGAGGAAATGGGAGATAAAGGATATTTTTGGTCCCTCCAACACTGAGAAATCTAGTACTGAAGAAGCCTATGAAACAGGCTAAGAAGGAGCTGGCCAGTGAGTTAGAAAGAAAACCAGAAAAGTGGGGTAACCCAGAAGCTAGAGAAGAAAATATTCCAGGAAGGATGGAATGATCCACTATATGAAATGGAATTAAAAGGTTTGATAGGTGAGAACAGAGAATTGGCCAGTGACCTTGGGGGAAATATAGTCCTCGTACACCTTAATTAGCAGAGTTTTAGTGAATTGATGAGAACAAAAACCTCAACTAAGTAGATTGAGGAGAAAATGGATAGAGACAAAGTGAAGGGGATTCTTTTTAAGGAGTTTTGCTTAAGGTAATGGAGAAATGCAGTGGTACCCAGAGAGAAACCTGACTACAAGGGAAAGTTTTATTTTTTAAGATGAATGGGATTTATAACACATTCATACACTAGTGGGAATTATCTGGAATGGAGAAATTGATGATGCAAAAGGGAAAACAGGACGGACTGGGTGCAGTGGCTCACGCCTGTATTCCTAGCTCTTTGGCAGGCGGAACCAGGTGGATCACCCAAGGTCAGGAGTTTGTGACCAGCCTGGCCAAGATGGTAAAACCCCACCTCTACTAAAAACAAAATACAAAAATTAGTTGGACATTGTGGCAGGTGCCTGTAGTCCCAGCTACTTGGGAGGCTGAGGCAGGAGAATCGCCTGAACCCAGGAGGCAGAGGTTACAGTGAGCGGAGGTCGTGCCATTGCACTCCAGCCTGGATGACAAGTGCAAGACTCCGTCTCAAAAAAAGACAGAGAAAAAAGGTGTTGCAAGAACAGTCCTTGAGAAGTCATAAGTGGATGAGATTCTGGCCATAAGTAGAAAGGTTGTCCTTAAAGAGGAACATGAATACTTCCTCCACTTTTTCCACTGTAAAGGTAGAAAAGGCAATGTGTGTGAGAGTAGAAACAGGGTGGTAGAATTTGTGGGAACGTGAGATGAAATTCACCTGGTTGGATCTATTTTCCCACTGAAGTATGAGGCAAGGTTATCAGCAGCAACTAACCTAGGGAAGGGATGTTGGAGATTTGAGAAGACTAGAAGGTTAGTGAAACTCTTATCTCAAAATGGAAAGGTAAATATATAGAATGAACTGATTGGATTCTGTTTCCGACAGTGTTAAATCCCCATTTGAGATTTGTGGTAATAAATTTTAAGTGAGCACAGTTGGCACAGTTGTGTGGTTTGTTTTTGTTTTTGTTTTCCTGGCACTGTTCATCTGCTCAGAAGCAGGCTTAGTGTAAGCTCCTGGTTGACTTGGCCTTTTACTAGTAAAGAGAGGGAATGAGGGGCAAGAGAGTGTTTACAAAATGGAAAACATGATGATTGTTCATGGAATTTAATATGGGTAAAAAGGGAAGTGAGAATGCTGATTAAAATGATAAGGGCAATGATTTTACATCTCAGTGAGATCCAGGAATTGTTGAGGTAAGGCTCTACATTTTAAGCAAGCATCTCAGAGGAGTATGATTCCTGTGGGCTGTGGGCCACTCTTGAAGAAACATTCGCAATTGCTTTGGGTCATAATAGTATTAGAGTAATATCTGTGTGTTTTTTTGTTGGTTTGTTTGTATTTTCAAATTTCACAGGATATCTGTTTTAACACAGGCAGAAGCACTTTTAAGAAAATGAATTTGTATGAGTGTCTAGGAAGATACTGATTATCAAGACTTCAGTAGTGAATAGACTACTACTACTCAGAGAAAATGAGTCTAACAATCGTTCTGTTATAAATTTAGCTTTTAAAATATATTATTAGATGAACAGCTGTTGTATTCTACCTGCATATATTACAGTTTCACATGCAATTAATTACTCAGGTATTTAACCCATCATTTATTTCTGGAAATTTGAATCTATATTTATTTTTTAAATTTGAAAATTTTGCCCATATCTAAAAAGAAAATTATACTCTAAACTTTTTTTTTACTACAAGAAAATTTTGCTCTTTCAGTTTAATTCGGGCAGTTTCCCAAACTGAAGAGGTCATCTTTAATTACCCGAGTTACACTGAATTACACAAGTGCAGCTTGTTCTCAGTGAAACTTTGTCTAATTATAGCTACTTTCCTTTGCTTGGGAAGCTATTGCAATTTTCTTATTAAATTAAATTTGCTTGACCTGTCTTGAAAGACTTGATAAGAAGTGGACAGAATAGGTTAAGCCTTTAGAGATTCTTTTTTTTATTGAAACTCACTTATATGTAGCATTTATTTCTGAGCTCACTGAAGAAACATCATGAAATTAGAGGAGCCTATTATAATTTTTTTAACTACTGAATATATGTTACAAGAAAGGTTAGAATGTTTCCCCCCACATCTATTCTGAATTACCTGTAGCTATTTCATTATGAATTTGGTGGGGGCCTTTTTTTGCAAGTATCTTATATTACTGTTGATTTACTGTGAGTATTAGATGCCCCTGGATTATTGTATACATTGCTGATGCTTTTTATGGCAGACTGGTCCTATGGAGGATACAAACTAAATACAATGCAGTCTCAGATTTTTTTCTTCCTTTTAGATGTTTATATTATCCCCTAATTTTGGTTTTTACTTCATACTAGTACTACATGCTATAAACCAAATTATGCTTCTTACTGGGTTTTTGTTGGTTGGTTTGGTTTTTTGGTTTTTATTTTGTCTTGTTTGAGATGGGGTCTCACTCTGACTCCTAAGCTGAATTGTAGCAGTGCAATTATAGTTCACTGTAACCTCAAACTACTGGACTTAAGTGATCCTCCCACCACAGTGAGACAGAGTCTCATTGTGTTACCCAGGCTAGTCTCAAATGCCTGGCCTTTAGCAGTCATCCCACCTCGCTTCCCAAATTGTTGGGATTATAGGTATGAGCCACCATACTCAGCTCACTTCTTGCTGTTTGATAAATAGATCCCATTCATTGTTTCTGTGTCTCTTCTATGCTGTTTCTCTTCCATCTTCTTTCCAATTCTGAGTAATCTGTCCTCACTAAGAGTCATCTCAGGCCTGGTGGCTCACGCCTGTAATCCCAGCACTTTGAGAGTCTGAGGTGGGTTGGTCCCTTGAGGTCAGGAGTTCAAGACCACCCTAGCCAACATGGTGAAACCCCATCTCTACTAAAAATGCAAAAATTAGCCAGGTGTGGTGGTGCGTGCCTGTAATCCCAGCTACTACGGAGGCTGAGGCAGGAGAATTTCTTGAACTGGGGAGGCGGAGGTTGCATTGAGCTGAGATTGCACAACTGCACTCCAGCCCAGGTGACAGAGCAAGACTCCATCTCAAAAAAAAAAAAGACTCAAATGCTGTCTGTCACCTGCATGATGTATTTCCAGACACTTCCTTCACCCAATAAGTATTTTAGAATAGCATTTATAATGTTTTTCCCTGTCTTAAATATTGATACATTTTATATTGTTCTCCCCCTCCCTTGAAATTAGCTCTTTGAGAGTGGCATCTTGTTTTACTAATCTTGGTATATACCATATCATACCTGGCACATAGTAATCACAAAATAATATTTGTTGACTCAAAGTTTAGAAACAGCTAAAGAAAAGGAGTGTATGTCACAAAAATGATCATGAATCAGATACCTCTAGTCATGAGACAAGTTATTAATGTTGAGTTACTGGAGAGGATAGGACTTGAGCTGAGCCTCATGCGTGGGGACCCTAAAGTAAAACCCAACAGAATGATGAGTGCTATAAGAATAATAAATTCTGCTTTAAGATGGCAGTTTTCTGAAAAGTGGGTAAATAGAGGAAATTTGCTGTTTTATTTTTTCCCTGCTTGTCATTTTATGAATGATAGAGTCTTTTTGCACAGTGAATGTATTGGAAAC